GCATAACTGACCAGACATTAATGGTAGAAAGTGAATTTGATTAATGATGCTGAAATTACAGAAAACTAAAAATAAATGTCAAGCGATCAAGTAATCGAGAGACTTGACGTACTCCCAAAGGAAACTATTTAAGTAAGGCTTAAATAAAATTCTCATACTGCCTCCTATTCCTACCGTACTCCACTACTTATATAGACCTCCTGATTTCATTATCCCTCTAGCTTATTTCCTGCCTTTCTTCCTCCATGAAATGAGACTTCATTTGTATGGGTACTTTTCCATAAAAGGTTTCATTATGAATAATTGTAAACTCCCAAAATCAACAATGGGAGATTGTGGGTAATGTTGCTGAGTAGCAAGCAGCAATATAGTATAAACAAACCAAGGATGCATGTATCAACAATATGGTGGGTGATGAATGGGTGAATTTGGGTTTGATAACCCAATGAAAGAGTCCTGAGACCTTAATAGGACCTTAGGATGCAATTTGGTAATTAGAACCATCTCTTGTAGCTTTTGATTACCAATGCAACACAATGTTGAAATAGCAGCATAGTTGAAACGAACTCATTCTCGAGACATTGTAGATCTGTAGGTACACCTGTTGTGGTTCCAAACCTACTTTTTATGACCCCAAGGATACCCAACACGCTCATTTCTTACCAAAAATTTTACAAAATTTGGTCTGAAAGTGTGGATCATATAGAATTCTGCTTTGGACAATTTTCAACTTATCTCGACTAGAAAAAGGAAAAAGGCTGAGTTGCTTCTCATGGACCCCACGAGACCCCATGAAGTCATTTGTGTGGTTGAAACCATAACTTGTAGCTCATGGTACCAATGCAACTTAATTACGAAATAACCCCATTATTGAACCGAAGTCATTCTTGGAACTTTGTAGATCTATAGGAAGGCTTGCTATGGTGTTCCAAACTGAAATTTATAACCTTGGTGAACACTCTAGTACTCTACACACTTAATTCTTTTTTGAAAAAATTTCTGTAAATTGATCTTAAAGCGTGGGTTATAGCCTTTAATTTTGGGTAATATTTGACTTTTTTGGGCCCAAAATGGAAAGATGCTTGGGTATTTACCATGGACTCCACAAGACCCCAGGAGGCTATTTTGGTGGTTAGAACCATCTTTTGCAGCTCTTGACTACCAATGCAACATAATCTATGAAATAGCTATATATTTAAGCCAAAACTCATTTTTAGGACTTTATAGACTTATTTGTAGCCCCTATTATGTTTCCAAACCAACTTTTATGATCTCAAGGTGCCCCCCACAAGCTCACTTCATTTTTAGAAAAAATTTCCAAAATTGGTCCAAAAGCATTGATTATAGCCTTTAGTTTTGAACAATTTTACTTTTTCAGACCCAAAATAGATTAATGTTGAGGTGCTTCCCATGGAACCCACGAGACCCTAGGAGGCCATTTGGGTGGCTAGAACCATCTCTTATAGCTTTTGACAACCAACGTAATGGAATTATGAAGTATCCATGTAATTGAACTGAGCTCATTCTTGGAACTTTGTAGACCAACTGGTACGCTTGTTATGGTTCTAAATAAACTTTTATGATCCTACGGGACACCCTACGTGCTTGCTTTAGTTTTGGAAAAATTTCCCAAAATTAGTGTGAAAGCATGGACTATTCTGAAATAGCCATTTAAACTTGAAATTAAAATAGCCACATAATGAAGTTGAATACATTCTTGTGATTTGTAGAACTAGTAATAGGCTTATTATGTTTTTAAATCAACTTTTATGACCCAAAAGGACACCCCCACACTCTCATTTCAGTTTTGAAAAATTTTCTCAAGTCTAAAAGCAAGGATTATAACTTTCAATTAGGGACAATTTTCAACTTTTTACGGGACCAAAAAAGAGAGAGGTTGGGGTACAAGCTGTAGATAGTACAAACAAAATATGACCTCTGCATGTATGTCCTACCATCACTTGAGTTTTCTAGTTTGGCTAATAGAGAATATTTTTGGACTCAGCAAGTTTAAACACCAAGGTGCTTCTCAATGTTGGTCCACTTGGTGACTGGAAGCTCAAAACCATCCATTCATGCCTTGGCCACCTCTCGTTATCATGTCTTAAGATGTCCTAGGCTTGGCCTTGTGTTTCCTTGCCTTACCTTGTGATGCCTTGAATTGGTCTTGTGTTGCCATGCCAAAATAAGGTACTTTTAAAAAAAAAAAAAAAAAGATGAGGTGTTTTTCTACCATCTCCTCATGCCCATGCCCTTTACCCAGGCCATGGTGTGCCTTTAAGCTTCCTAAATGTTTATTGTGCATTTTCGATTGTATTCCTGATACGGCTGGTTCATTACATTTGCCGCATGCTTTGCACCAGCCAAGTACAAGCAATCTGTGCAGCCTGCCTTTCTCTACTAAAAACTGGCATATCTCCTTCAAGTCTTGCACAAATCATGCTTGTGATGCTCATTAAAAACTCTCCAACTCGACTCCATTTCCAAATGGTTTCACCTTTGAAATTTTCATAGAGTTATAGCTCTATGAAGAGCTTGGTTTCACCTTCAAGTCTGGAAAGCACTTAACCAAAATCCAAGCCTCGCAATGCATCATGGACCATCTAAAAGCTTTAAGCAACAAAACCTAAGCAACTAAGATGTGTTATCACCAAATAACCTGGAGAACTGGAGCCCTAATTATCACCAACTAATATCAGGGAGTGACGACCATTTCGAGCAAAATTACCGGGAAGCTACATAAATGGCTTCTATGTCTCTATGATTGAATTGGTGAATCTTAGCTTCTTCTCTCAAGATTATTTTTCTCTCTGATCTTTCACCATTCTTAAAAAAACAGTAGGTAATGGATAATTTCTCCACTCTATATAGTATATATTACACTTAAAGCAGAATTTATAAGGTTAAATTCAAACCATTCCAATTCCCCACCTCCCCCCAAAAGTTTGAAAATAATTTGCAGGAGCGCATAGTACGTCAGCAAATTCATATGCAAATCCCATGAGCCAGTCCAAACTCAAAAGGCACAGGGCACAACAAAGGGAAAGTAGCACGCAACATTTGAGATGCAAAACTACTGTGTTTTTTGGACTAACAAATTTCAATTGAACACAAATTGCTTAACAAGACAAAACACAGAGAATAACAAAGGATATTAAACTCGCATTGTTTCTGCATAAATTAAATTATTCAATCCTCGTTTAATCACTTAAATAAAGAAATTCCAATCCAGAGTAATGGGACTAGTCAAGAGTGTAGGTGCTTACCTGTTGAGGTGCATTACGGCCCTCTGGAACTTTAAATACTTCACTATCAAGAGGTATATCAGTTGCTGGCCATTCTGACCGAACATAAGTGCTTGTTATCCCAACACTTTCTTCATGGATATAGCTAAATAAAACCACACTCATCAGAGGTACAAAAAGAAATGGAATCGCCCACAACAATATCCTCTCCATCCTCATCGTCACTACTTACAGTCCCCTGATGCTTACATATACTCCTGCATATATCAACATAAACCACTTAGTGAGTTAGTGCAGTTTTGAGACTAAATTATTATGTAGTAGACGATTTATGTTCCGATGTTTCTTCTCTTCTTGATATATAGCAACAGATTTTCTTCAGTACTTTTAGCACAATAAAATCATAACAACAATCAAAGGATTTGTGAGTGCACAAGCTATAGTAAATTTCCTCTTATTGTTTTTTGGCATACAACATCAACTAAGGGTGTGTATGGCAACTTGGCAAGCACTTCAGATACCCTCCATCTCATTCATTTTTCGTGATTTCGACTCCGAAAACTCAGTTTGGCAAATCATTTAGCTAAATTTTACTTCTTTTGAGCTCCCAATTTAAGCTAGTTTGTCAATTTAGCTAAATAATGAAGCTTTTTCAGATCAAATAACCATCAACCTTAGCTTGTCGTTTAAACTGGTCTTTTCTAGCGACTAGCCAACTTTTTATTTCAATTTTTAATCACATTACTAGCCGAAAACACCTAAAATCAATCAAATTAAACAAATAGAAATTCAAATTTCCAACCAACCCAATTCCAGTAATCATTTCATAAACCCAAAAAATTTAAATGTATTAAAAAACTACCTTAATTAGAAAAAACAATGGGTTAAATTTATCCAAATAATGCCTTAAAAATACATTAAATTTTCATTCTACCACCTAAAAAGAACTGAATTGATAATTCAACAAAAGGACATACACCAGCAAAAAAAATTGAAAGTAAATTGACAATTTTAATCTTAAATATAAGAAGTTTATTTAGAGAAATGGTGGAATTACCTTGAAGCATAAATGGCAAGGAAGAACTGAGGAGAGAGAATGAACATGGTGGATAAATTGAAGAACAATGTAGACTTTTTTTATTTATGGAATTGGGTCTTTTTTAATGCAATTTGGGAATTGGGACATTCAACAGAATTCATGCTTAGATACTGAGATGATGGGAGGACATATGATTAAGGAAACATTAAACAAACAAGACTTTCAATTGTCAAAATTTTTTAGTGAGAATTTGTATTAGATTCTCTTACATTGCTATCAGCCTGTCAGAGGTGGCTATTGGGCCGGATCGGGTTGACCGATCAACCCAATGGCCAATCCTGATCCACCCATCGACCAGGCTTACCGGGTATGAATTGAATTTGACCCTAGTACAAGTTTGGACGGGTCACCTATTCATGGGTCGAGCTCCTCAAATACCAACTCGGTTATTACGTTCCACCTCGACTAGTTGCATTATCATGATCAATGTAATCATGTCTTATACTTCGTACGAAGTAATAAAGCAATAAATTTTTGTTTTAGTTTCCACCTTATTAATCCTGTAAACCGTATTTCTTTCATGTAAACTTCGAACATGTTATACTTGATTGCACGGACATAAAAATGATGCAAACTCAAATAATTTGAAACTTTATGTTTGGATCATTTGTGATCAATTTTTTTCCTAGTCAATTGTTTTTATATTTTGAAGCATATTTTTTGAAGAAAAAAATTGGACATTTACTTTTGAGATGTTGATTTCCAACTAAAGAAGGCACCTTAAAATTACAGCAAAGTAACTGGAAGTTTGGAAGACCTGAAACTTCATTACAGAAACATGTTATCTTAACCTAATCAAGACATAATACAAGATTTCACTCCTCAACATTGACATTAGAAAACAGCAGCCCCAAAAGATGGCTTCTCCAGCTTCCTTCTGCGGCTATTGCTTGCCCTGTATCGTCATAACAATAGATAGTTCCAAGTTATTTGTAACATCTTAGAAACATAGTGTACATCGACGCTCACATATAAGAAGCGATTGATGTACTCATGCAGAATAGAAAACAGTTGATCCCCAGTTTTGGTGGTTCATAATGCTACATTAATTTAAGAAAAAGATGTGTACAACCTTAACCAAGACAGACTTATGTTGTATTCAAGATGAATTTAGTAGTTGTGATTGGTGGAAATTGTAAACAAAAGGGTCAATTGGGAAATTTGTCCTACCATGTAGCTCAAGAGGCAGTGTCATATAAGTATTACAGTGCGTACAGCAGAATGAGGCAGCACACATTATGCTGCTTGGTATCATGGCAGTTGATTAATTCGTGTTTTACAAAAGAAAAAAGTGGACTACGGATATAATCAACTATAGAACACTTTTTTATCACCACATTTGTTAACTACAGAAATGTAAGACTTACTTCACGATTTCATGGTATATCTAGTTGTGGCCAAAATATTCACCAAAATCCAAGGAGATTCATAACTAATCAGTAATCAGAAACCTTTATCTATAAGCACAATCAGATAGTGAACTTACCAGTACTGGTTCAGTAGAATTGTGGAGTCAGTAGGCACTTTCTTCCCATCATCGTTCCGATTCCAGTGGTAGATAGCATGTGTTCTGTTCTTGATTTCTAATGTTGAATGCCCATAACTAGATTCTCTGAATGCTGAATAATCAGGTTGTGGATCTCTGAACCTGAATGGTAAAAAGGTATGAACAATTCACAAGCCTGTTAGAATGTTCTCGTAAAGGAAGTAAGAGCACAATGATGCCTTCTAGTCATTTAAAGATTATAGTATCACCTTCCAGCAAGACCTTCTTGATTTCCACCATCTCCAACAGTAATATATACTGGAGCTGCTTTGTCTGGGACAGGGTAACGTTCTCCACTAGATACATTGTATTGTATGTTTGAGATTCGATACTTGAAAAAGAATAAGAAAAAATTAGTTAACTCATCCTACCAAACAAAAGGGTTCTTCTATCCAAGGGAAAGAAGTCTGTTACATGACTAGGTTCGAAAAAAGACCATTAAAAACACATCATGCATAAATGCATAATGGAGCAGAAAACCAAATGTAATTCACTTAAGGTGTGACCATCATTATTAATAGTCCTTTGTAAACAAATTCTACACCAAAAGAAATGGCCTAGTAAAAAACATAGTGCCTTGAACAGTGTTCTAAAATCGCGCTATTGGATTCAAAGATTGTTTAAGAATCCAACACAGGTATTTTAATGTCTTCCTTCAGGAGATAAATTAAATAAGTTAATTTGCCACAAAAAAGCCAATGCAGACAGAAAAACCTACCGATCTCTCATATGCATGAACATGGCCTGCAAAGATTACATCAACCTTGTAATGAACAAACCACTCCTCAAAGACAGATCGCATACTTTCACCCTCCATGAAATGTGCTTCATTGCTGTTGTAAATTGGGACATGCATCAAAACAATCAACCATGGCGTTTTCTCCCTGTCCACCCTCGTCAGTTCTTCTCTAAGCCATCTCCATTGTGGAGTGTATTTCACTGTTGAGGAAATTATATACAGTCAAGTACATGGAAAAAAAGAGGAGTCAGATAAACACGAAACACACAAGGTCATGAGCTTCTAAGGAGAGTGCATGTTAAGCACTGGAATTGATGTACAACAATAGATGGGGGGTAGCCGGGTAGGCAAAGCTTGTATTCTTCTTTGATGGGAGGGTAGACTATAGAAGCTTTATAGAACACCAAAATAGTAAGAAAGAATTACATGGTATGTAACAAGACTTTAAATGCCCCCCTCCACCACCCCCAACCAAAAAAAAAACATATGTTGCTTGAATGAGAATATTGAAAGCCAATTAGTTAAAGCTTACCAAAAGGAGAATAGCTAGACAGCACAATAACATGGGCAGACGCCCGCCGGATAGCATACCAAAGAGGACTACTGCTTTTACAAGCTGCATAAGGAGTTGTGTATCTCTGGAGGTATGATTTAAAAGGCACAACTTCTCCCTAAATACAGAAACAAACCACAAATCAATAGGCAATGAAATGAAAATTTATTCATGCATCTGATAGAGACATGATTCATACATCATTAAATCAAGATATTGCATTCAAATATATGATTACTTGCCCTAAGCTTAAGCAATATAGCTGTTAAGCATTCAATATTGAATACTATGCTTTTACATGTAAAAAAAAATTGATTTTCATGGACGAAAAAAAGTCAAAGATAATGGTTTATTAGTACTGTGAACGAGAGTCGCAACACAAAAATTTGACATCTCTGTTTGAATAAGTGGATTTACTTGTGATACAAATATATCTTTCTATATAGATTAAAAAAAAAAATGTCCTCAGACAATGTCATCAAAAATCTTACCAGCTCAGGCATGTATTCTATCTCATGATTACCAGCAGACCAAATCCAAGGCTGATATGCCGCAATTCTTTCAACAAAACGACCCCATGTATCCCATCGGATTCCAATGTCATTGTGATGATATCTGTCAGCATAAGAAAGATCCCCAACAAACAAGACAGTTTGGGCGCCACTCTCAAGGTAATGCTCAAGTGTAGAGAGAGAGTTATATGTCTGACCCAAGTCACCTGAAATAGACCAAAAGAATGTCAAAATTAACTGTAAGTATTTGATCATCTCTCTTTTACTGTTTACCAAAAGGGGGGCAGGATAAGCAAAGTGAACATGAAATCAGTGACATAGTCAGGTGTAATCATAAAAAAAATGCTCACATACAGAGCGGTATTTGGAGGGGGGAAAAAAAAGAAAGAAAGAATTTGCATAATTCAAGTCAGAATCCTAATATCTGTCTGGAATCAGGAATTGGCAGCAACCAAAAACTATGTAAGTAAGCTATTTTTCAAAGCAGACAGAAAACCAGCTTATTGTTTAAATCTGTGAAAGTTTAGCTAAGAGCCAAGAAGCAACATACTATATTAAACAGCCAATCAAAATATGTAAGTTCATGATAAATAGAAAAGGTATGCTTTGCACAAGAAACTAAAACACTAACCAATAATGCCAAACTTGAATGAGGAATCAGGACTAATCTCAGGAGGAGTCTGAAACCAAAATTTGCGAGATGATACACCGCTTCCAATCTTGTAATAGTACTTCTTGTTATACTGTAAAGCATAAGACAAAGGGAGGAAAATGATATAAGAGGAAAGAAAAGATGTGATTAGTGAAGCTACTACAATCAAATGTAGCTAGTCACAAACAAACAGCAGTACCTCAAGACCATCAACAAGACAGTGATGGATATAACCAGAATTATACTTGTAAAAGCTGTAGTTTGCAACTGTCCCCTCTGCAGTAAAATCATATTTATCTTCTGATGTTCCATATTGCACTTTGTTAGATCCCGGTTCATCAGGTGTTACCCATGAGATTATAACTGCTTTTCCATCATAGTCACCTTGTGTTATGCGTACCTGCCATCAAAGCACCCAAAAGAGTACTTAAGAATTAAGAACTTGGCAATGATCTCATTTCCAGAACACTAGTATTCATCTTCAGGCAACATAATGTTGTATTCATTATTCAAAAAATATGTTGATATATATCTTTCAATACAAGCCCGATTGTAGTTGACTTTTTATGGCCATATATCCTAGTCCAGATTGTGCATGTGATGCTCATTTGAAACTTTCAAACTCAACTTATATCTCCAAGTGGTTTGAAGTTCAACTTATTCACAAAGGAGATATAACTCTTCAAAATGCTTGTTTTCGGCAACTCTTTCCATCTTTGTGTGAGTCCAGGACCATCCTCTCAACCAAACCAGCCTTCCAATTCATCATGGAGCATTTAAAACCCAGGAGCAAAACTCATGCAATTGAGATGCACCATTAATAGAGTAGAACCACCTTATAGAGTTAGGCCTATAACAACTACCCTTGATTCTCACCAAAAGATATAAGGGAAATGACAAGCATCTTCAGCAGATATCAAGGGATGAATGCACATTTAGTTACTTTTCCAGGGAACTACATAGATGAGGCTTCTATTTCTACTCAAGTGAGTTGAACTGAATAAGATAAACCTTAACCTCTTCTTCCTACTATTCTTCGAACTGAATAAGATATATCTTAACCTCTTCTCCTATTCTTTAAAATTCAAATACTAATGGGTGCCTCCACCATTTTTATCAACTTATTATTATGTCTCCAATGCAGGATTGTATACTAAGTCACAGACAGCACATGCAACCCACGCAAATTTAAAGATAATGCCAAATTGCAAAGATAGCGTGCAACAATTGATAAACAAAAAATTTTGGATTTTTGCACTAACAAGTTTAAATTTTACATGAATTGCCACCAAAACAAGACAAGGCACAAAGAAACATAAGAAATTTGATATATCTATTTGAATCTGCATAAATGAAATCCATATAAAGTATAAACCATTAATCTAGTGATCTAAGTGGCGAAATTCACAATGCAGGGAAAGAGCTCAAGTACATAATGAGAAAACTGTTAATGAGGTTGTGTTTCCTATCTTATTAGAGTCAGAAGTGCTCACTTGTTGAGGTGCATTATGACCCTCTGGAACAGCAAATGCCTCATTATCAAGAGGTATATCAGTTGCTGGCCACTCTGACCGAACAAAAGTGCTTGTTAACCCAGCATCCACCCTGTGAACATAACTCACGTAGACAAGCGATGCAAAAAGAAGTTGAGTTGTCCACAACAAAATCCTCTCCTTCCTCATCATTGTTACTGACAATCAGCGGATGCTTACATAGACTGCTGCATACATAAGATGGCATAATTTACTTAGTCCAATTTTGTGACTAAACAAATTAACATCTATTATAAAAATTATCCAATTTACTTGTGACAATATCAGTGAGCTTATTAGCTAACAAATAGTAGCCCAGTAACAAAACCAACCACAACCATAGTAAAACAAGGCTCAACCCTATTACATTAAGAGCGAAAAAGCAAGTCCCTATGCCATTACAAAATGAAAAAGAAGGCGGCATCTTATTGGAACCAATATCAATCTAGAAGTCAGTTTACCGCAAATCCACAATGTAATTCAAAAGGCATATAACTCAACCAATTTTACAATTTTCTTGTTTAATGCTACTTCTTAAATTTATCACATAATATCAACATACAAAGTATATTTCTTCAACAATAAAATCATAACAATGAAAGGATTTGTAAATGTATGAGGTAATGAGAAAACCCTTTTTTGAAGTATCACCAAATTTGACATTGCCTAGAATATGTTTTCACAACCATGCTCTATTGTTAACCCCACCCCCCTTTTTGGCATATTAGATCAATGAGATTTGTTAAGCAAGCACTTCATGTACTTCCCACCAAACTCATTTTCCGTTCTCAACTCCGAATTTATGCTAGGTAATCACTTTTAATTTAGTTTGGAAAACATTAAACTAACTTATTTGAATCAATGTTCAACTCCCAATTTATGCTAGCTTATCATATTTATGTGTGTTTGGTAAGCTGGCTTTTGAAGTTTGAGTTAACTTATAATTTTAGCTAAAGAATGAAGCTTTTTAGGATCAAATATCAACTACCTTTCATCTAGCTTTTTCTAGTTTCCATCCAACTTTTTCAATTAAAATTTGCAGTTTTCATCTAAACATTATTAAATACCTTATCATTTCAACTATTCTTTCAAAGATAAAGTTAAAAACTTTTCAATTTTCAACCAATTTTCCATTTTAAACGATCAACCCGACAACAATTTCAAATTTTTCAAATGACCCAATTCAAATAATCATTTCATAACCAAAACCCCACAAGAAAAATCAAAGATTTAATCTTTAATAAACAACTAATGGGTCAAAATGATCAAACGAAAACCCCTCAACTGCATTCAAATTTCATTCGTTGACTTGATAACTATGCTTAATTCAACTATCAATAAAAATTACATGATGGGATCTTTAAATTAATAATCAAGAAAAAAAGCATAAACTATACAATTGGGTATAAATAAATTTGATGAATAAGTAATTAAACATTAGAAGAAATTAAGGGGTACCTTAAAGCATCAGCGGATTGCAGTGGATAGATTGAAGTAAAAGAGAGGGAAAATGGCGGATATTTATATAAATTGAAGATAATTTGGAATTTAATAATGTAATTGGGATGCGTAATTAATCAGAAACCCACATGCTTATATGGCAGATGCTTTAGAGTAACAAACAAATTTTATATTTGTCGCGTGTTTTAAGGGGGTAATTTGTTCTTTGTTCAATCAACTCTTTGTTTTAAGGGGAGTTAGGAATCTTAGGATTAGGTTCTTTGTTCTTGTTACGTGAATACATTGGCAATTTGGTATAGTCGCATAGAGATAGAGCTAGGGATGGGCCGAAAAGGCGAAGAGAGGATTAGACCGATTAGTATTAAACTATTAACCTAGTTTGAATGCGTAACGCAAATATAATTTTGGTTTGGTTTATTTACACGAGTTAAATGATTAACGATAATTACTTTTATATTTAAAGGAAAAGGATTTCATGTTATTTACTCGTATTATGAAGTACCTTGAGTTTTTATCCGTATTTTATTTTATGTTATCTTAAATTTGATACAATATTTCGTATTTGTTCTAACGAAGTTCGTCACTACTCATTATAACACGTGTAGTTATGGAAGCCTGTAGTTATAGTCTCACACTCTCATAGATACAAGAAAATTGTTTGAAGGACAATGGAAACAAAACAAAGTGTATATAACGAAGGCACAAATTTTAATTATATAATAGAAGTTTAATTTTGATATACTCTGTAGTTATTTAGAAATAAGCCCGAGTTTCATACAATGTGACACAAACCAAAATAGTAACTATTTCTCGATTTGTAACTTACAATAATTTCAATTAAAGTCAACTTTTTTTCTTTTTTTTTTGGGAAAGAACTAGAAACTAGAATATAAAATGTCTTCAAGAGACCTTATTAAATCCTTATTCATACGACTTCCACAAGATTTTTCCTCCAAAAGAGCTCCGAATTCTTTTGGATTTAACTTGTCCTGCACCATAAAGATAATGATATATGTGAATAAAAATTTTATTTTTTCAAAATTGAAAATAAGGGCTTTTTAAATGGCTAAAGTTCTTAATTTTTGGAAAGGAAAAAGTGTATATGCTAAAAAAATATAATTCCTACTTTCTTTTATTATTACACATTTACACCACTTGCCTTTTTAGGAAGTTTCACAAATATTGTCTCATTTCCTCTTTAGGATAAAAATTATTTGTGTTCACACTACAAATACTCAACATATCCTTGCTTTTTTCCACTTACTTTTTAGTTTATCAATATGTCACATGGACAATTTTGTATTTTAACCTTTACCTCTATAGTGCAATAATCGGAGGAAATATATACTTTGTACTTCGTGTGTGTGTGTTAATTTGAGACATACTAACATTTATTAACTAAAGAGGTTTTATTATATTGTTAAGGCTAATGCTATATATAATATACTTGTATAAATAAATTAAATAAAAGATCTCTCCTTATTTTTAGTTAATTAAAATATTGTATTCATTGTCTTCTCTAGTTCTCTATCATAACTAAAATATGTATACCTTATATAGAAGCAGTGTATATAGGAGTTTGACGCGACTTTGACATCCTGTTGAGAAAGAGTGTAAGAAAAACATTTTAGGAAAAACATGAAATAATACCCCTAGCTAGGGTTGTTATTCTAAAATCCCAACAACAACTAACCCATATTTAATTATTTGTTTTTATTATTTATTAGGTAATTGTAATACATATTAGTATCAATTAAGCAGTGATAAATTTATTGGTAAAATGGTAAGTTGAATAATGATTGAATTACAAGATCGTGGTTATCTAATTTAAATGAACTTTCACGTACAATTCGCACTTAAGTGTGGATTGTACGTAGTTATTTATACTATATACGAGTATTCAAAAACGTACGATTAAGGATGATTAATAATAGGGGTTGTTTTAATTGTCTTTTTCCCGTATGAATATATAATTACCAGTATTGATTGTGCAGCACAAATGAATCAGCAGTAACTTTGTTGCCATCTTGATTGCGATGCCAATAATAGAAAGCGTGAGTTTTGTTCTTGATATCCAATATGGCATGCCCGAAACTTGGTTCACGAAATGCTGAATAATGTGGTTGAGGAGATATGTACCTGCAACAATTATTAAAATATAACAATAGTCAATACCAATAATCAAGATCATAAATACCTAAGGCACTTATATATATACGACAATTGATGATTTATAACTTATAAGTATGGTCGTATCCATATGGTGTATATATAACACTGATGGCCTATTTACATTTACTTAATTGCAATTCAATTCAATTCAATTCAGTTCAGTAACAATCAATTAAGTTCAGTTCACTTCAGCTCAAATCAATTTAGTTCAGTTCAACTCTTAATTTCACTCTCTCATAAAATATTCATTTCAATTCAGTTCAGTTCAGCTCCAATCTGTTCCGTTCAATTCAGCTCAGCTCATTTTATGTGATCAGGCCCTGAGTTGGATAAATATAGGTTAAATAATTTTTTTTGTCATTGTCTCAAGAGTCTCATCAACCCAATTTTTGATAAGATACTTTATTCACAATAATTTCAAGATTATTTTCAATTAAATGAAGTAGATCGTTGTTGCTTTCTCCATGATATCATTTCTTTATCAATTATCATAATTTGTATCCATAATAATAGAAGGTAATGATGTTATACTTCAATTATACATAGTATATGTGACAATTAATAGTTTCGCACAATAATTTATTGTGTTTAGAGGCATAGTAAAGGAACTTACTCTCCCGCAATTCCCTCGGAGTTGCCACCATCTCCAATAGTTACGTAAAAGGGAGCTGATTCATCCAATTCAGGAGTACATTCACCATTTGAAATGTTGTACTTCAAATTTGACACTCTATGCTGAAATTTTTGTATCAAGGAGACAAGGAAAAAAAAATTAACATTAACAATTTAACATACATTTTTAAAAAAGTGCTAAACATAATATGAGAAAATATATAGAATTAAAAAAAAAGAACAGATGAAGTATAAGTATATGACTCATACCGATCTCTCATAAGCATGAACATGTCCAGCAAAAACAACGTCGACCTTGTAGTCTACAAACCATTGCTCGACAACAGATCTCATGCTTTCGCCCTCCATGTAATGAGCAGTGTTAGAGTTGTAGAGTGGAACGTGCATTACTACAATCAACCATGGTGTCTTCTTCCGGTCAACTTTCTTAAGCTCTTCCTCTAACCACCTACATTGCGGGGAGTATTTTACTGTCGAAATATGAAATATTAAAGGAAAATATTAAACATAGCTCTAAAAATTACGGAAATTTTTTTTTAATAATTTATGCAATTTATTACACCGAACAATATATGCAATTTAATAATATTAGAGATGAAATTCTATTACACCGAACAATATATGCAATTTAATAATTACTATGGTGTCAATTTATTACGGAGTAGTTTGAATTACCAAAACCGGAGTAGCTAGAGAGCACGATAATGTGAGCCGGCCCACGCCTGATTGCGTACCAAAGAGGATCTGTACTCCCGGAATGCATGAATGGTGAAAGGTACCTAGTTTTGAATTGCAGGAAATTTCCAATTAACCCCTGAAATCAATGATTTTATACATGTAAGCTTATCATACATGACCTTGATGCATAATTGTACATTTGTACTGTATTTCATAAACTTAAAATATGCATGGGATACATACAAGCGTTACACAACATTACATAAATGATAAATTTCTAATGATAGGTATGTACTCGTGCTGTTACTTGTTAGAAAAATACCTTATTTGTGCGAAATATATATGAAGGATGACTAAAATATAAGACTATTGGACTAAAAAATTATTTATTACTAGAACCTGTTAGTTTTTATGTAGTTAGATTCTCTTTCGGTGTGAGCTTGGTTTAACCCATCAAAGATTTATCGAATGTTAATTAACTTAATTACTAGTCTATGTGAAAAAAAAAAAAAAAAAATTACCAATTGAGGAAAGTAGTCAATGTCATGGTTTCCAGTAGTCCAAATCCAGGGTTGATAAGCAGTGCTAGGCTCAACGAGGCGGCCCCAAGTATCCCATCTCAAGCCAACCTCGTGTGGAACATCGATATGCCTATCTGCATAAGTAAGATCTCCTACAAACAACACGGTTTCCCCTTCACCGCCTTTCATGTAATGTTGCAAGGTGGAAAGCGAGTTCTTTGTTTGCCCTAAATCACCTGAAACAAACAAACAAACAAATTAAGGGAATTTCACATGTATCATCATTTTAGTTTATATTCAATCACGTGGAATTAAAACGTACCAATTAGTCCAAACGTGTATGGAGAGTCTGGACCAACCTCTGGAGGCGTTTTGAACCAAAATTCACGGTGAGAAGGACCACTACCAATTTGGTAGTAGTACTTGGTGTTATACTACATTGGATTACACAAGAAATTTGTTAGAAAACTGATGAAAATAAAAAAACAATGATTAAATTTTAAAATAAATGTATTTTCTTTAGGGTTAGTTGTTTGGTGTAATAAATTACCTCCAACCCATCAACAACACAATGATAAATTTGTCCAGATTTGTAGCCCTTGAAGCTGTAGCTAGTATTGAATGCCTTTGCTTTGAGGGTATATTTACCTTGTTCTGTTCCATAGTACACAGTGTGTGACCCATGTAAATGTGGTGTCACCCATGAGATTATAACTGCCTTTCCATCATAATCTCCTTGTGTAATGTGCACCTACACATTTCATTGTCAAATTCATTTTAATGGCATGTATAAATTTTAGGAAGTTATTAGGAAAGTAATTGGGTGTGATAGTTAATGATGAGAGTTATGGGGAAACATTGGTATCTACTTAACTGCATAAAAGTTGAGGATTAAAATTTTGAATTCTTATGGTAAAAAGTTGGCAAATTGACATACTTGGCAAGTTCTCTTCAGATTATTTTTAGTTCAGTTCAGTTCAGTTCTTAATTTTCTTATCTCATAAAATATTCAGTTCAGTTCATTTTAGTTCCAAAAAGTTCAGTTCAGTCAATTCGAACAAACCCTTAAGATGTGTTATCTTCATCATCTTATTGGACTTGAATTTATATGAATTGAACTTATCTGAATTGTTATGATATAGATTATCATTAGATGAGGAAATTATATAGTCGAAGATGTTCGACCCAGTTCCCTGCTTTACAACACATCAGATTCATTCCGATATATGTAGTCCTTGAAGCTAATTTATTGCGGTATTTGCAACAAAAATTGAGAATAATTGAAACGATGAAGTGAGAAATTTGAAATTACTCATGTAAGTTTTCCTAATGATAAATGTCATAAAGTATGACAATGCGCATAAAAATACAAAATTTACCTGTTGTGGAGCATTGTAGGCCTCAGGAGCAGCAAAGATTGTATCATCAAGAGGAATATCAGTAGATGGAGGATCTACCCTCACATAACTACTTGTAATACTTTCACCATTAACCCCATTGCTTAAGCTATTAGTGCTAATAATAATAGTAATTAGCAACACTAACAACTTTGCTTCCATCATGAGATTTTTGTGCTCCCCTTAGTTTGTAGTCTTGTACTATAACTTTGATATGCTTATTAGTTTCATTTCTAGACAATTTATAGCAAAATAATTCAAAGTTTCATAGCAGTCGCTTTCAAGCATTTAATTATTTGTTTATTTTGTCGTTGGTTCGATTTTATTTACTCACGTTTTGAAATAGCTATGTTGAATTATTGTACGTGATAAATTTGGGTGGTTTGTGTTAAAGATAGTTTTATCATGTTATCTATAATGTCTTCTAACGTGTGATTCTTGTTGATTCGGCTTTATAATTTATATATTGCCTTCGTGCTAAAAAACACAACCACACTTGATTGTTTTACGTTACTGCCTAGGAAATTTCTAGTGTAAGAGGAGATATTTCTATTGTACTTGATCGACATATGACAATTGTATGTACTTAATGTTTTGATGTATTGCTATCGTTTTTTAAAGGAGGATACTCTCGACGTTGAAAGAATAATAGTGTATGTGGATCACACACGCCACACGCGTGTTGTGCATACGCACACCATCGTGTGGCTAAGCTCTTACGGAGCACTGGAGTATCATCACAGACCACTCGATCTTAATTGATTGTAATTAATGATAATGGAAATTTTCCAATCAAACAATACTCAAATTAGTCGAATGTGACATAAACATTTAATTTGTTATAATGGTAGTTTGAATAGGAGCACATCATGAAAGTAATGGGTTTGTTCTATTCACCTGATTTTTACTTATCTGAATTTAACTAAACTTATTAAAACTTATTTTAGTTGTAATTTGAATTTAGGTAACCTTTATCAAAACTTATTTTTCCTAAACTGAACTTATTAGTCCTAAAATATGAAAATAAGGTGAATAAAACAGATCTTAAATAAAATAATTAGGATTGTCAAATTAAGTTTGAACTTCTAATCTAAATAAAATAATTAGGATTTCAAAGTGATATAATATTAATATTCAGCTATTAGGTCATACACAAAATGTTATATACTCGTACATAGTTTATACAACTCATTTTTTATGTGTTTTTTTTTTATTTCTCACAAGAAGAAAAAAGATTTCATTAATGAAATTCATCCTTATCTAATGATTCGTATTTAGTTCAAAATATTATAGGCCGAGCGGCCGAGCCTTAATATGAATATTATGATCCTTCCTAGGAATATTGATGTCACTTATCACTTGTTTCAATTACACAATAATGAGTTAATCAAGTCCTAGCTTATAATATAGTCGAGATCTTTGTACATAAAACTTGATAAGTTTTTTGTAATCATTGAGTACAAGTTTGAATGACTAGCTACTAAGGGTATGTTCTCATTGACTGAACTCATCTAAATTGAACTGAACAACTGAATTAAACTGAACTGAATTAAACTGAACTGAGCTAAACTGAATTGAACTGAACTGAACTGAGCTGAGCTGAACTGAACTGAACTGAACTGAACTGAACTGAATTTCAACGTAAGAGAACAGACCCTAAGTAGCGTTAGGATGAATTTAACTACAAGTATGATTGAAGAGTAAGTGATTATAATATAAAAATAGACAAATAAATAAAAAGTTAGGGTTGATGGAAAATTGAGCATACTAACGTCATTTTGATAAGTTGAATCATTTTTTTTAGAGAGTCATAAAGACGGGTAATGAGAATCGATCTCAAAATCTCTTGACTTTTGGAACCGAGAAAGGAAATCTAACCACTTGAACTATCACTCACTCTAAGTTGAATTAGTTTTTTCCTTGGACCTTGGTAGTATTTTGGTGCACTGAGATAATCATGGAAAAAGGCTCTACATGATGAGGCCCATCATAGGTAATTTCAATTGCTTGTTATTGTTATTGGTGTAAGGCCCATAAAAATTTATGGATTGGTCCCATGATGTGGCCCAACCCAGGAACTCAGCTTAACTTTGAGTCTGTCATCTCAAATTCACTATCTCAATTCTCAAAATTGCATTGGTTATGTTCTTCCCTCTCTATCACTCCATGCATACCATATAAAAACTTTTTTTTTTTTTTTTTAAAAAAAATAGCTATCTATAAAAGGGATTATATTTTCTAGGATGAGCTTGTCAGTGATGACCTAACAAAACAACATAATGTGCAACTCAATCGGTTTCATATATAGATATGACAAGATTGGAATGGAGTAAAAACTACTCTCATTCTCATATATTGTACGAATTAGGCCCTGTTCTTTTGAGCTTTCGGACAGAGCATAGCAGAGCAGAGTAGATTTCAGCAGAGATGAGCAGAGCAGATTTCAGCAGAGCAGAGCCGAGCCGAGCAGAGCAGAGCAGAGCAGATTTGATTATTATTATTATTATTATTATTATTATTATTATTATTATTATTATTATTATTATTATTATTATTATTATTATTACTACTACTACTACTACTACTACTACTACTACTAATAATAATAATAATAATATTATCGCATTATTATTATAATCATTAAATTTTTAAAGTTAAATATTAATTATTATTATATTGATTATAATTATTATTATTATTAAATATTATTTAATTATTATTATTATTAAAAATTAATAGTTAGTATTATCTTTAAATATTAGTTATTATCTTAATATTAATTGTTATTATAAAAATAAATTATTTTTATTATAATTAATATTATTAGTCAGAAGTATTATTATTAATATTAGTATAATTACTATTATTATTACTATTATTATTATTATTAAATATTAATTATTATTATTATTAATTTATTATTACTATTATTAAATATTAATAATTAATTATTAATTTTTTTTATTAAATATCAATAATTAATTATTGTTATTATTATTATTATTATTAAGTATTATTTATTATTATTAAATATTATTTATTTATTATTATTAATTATTTATTATTATTCTTATTAATTATTAATTATTATTATAATAATTAAATATTAAGTATTAATTTTAAGTAGAGCAGAGCAGAGCAGATTGAAGCAGAGCGGAGCAGATTTCAGCAAAGTAGAGCAGAGCAGAGCAAAGCAGCTTTAAAGAACGGGGCCTTATTATTTGTTGTTAATGTTGAGGCTTGAGGGACTATCTTAGATTTCTAATTGTGAATTTTGTGATTTACTTTTTTGTTTTTTGTTTTTAATTTTGTGATTTACTTTATAAAATAAGAAGTACAACACAAATTAATAAAATATAAAAGGGACATGTGTCGACCACAAATTGTGATGAACCCAAAAAGGCAATAGTTGGAAAATAAAGAAAACAAATGTAAATACTTCAACCATTAATTCTCCTCAATGACAAAAATAGGAATCAGCATGAAACATGAATTGATTAAGATCCGAATATGCTCGTTGCAAGTAACATAATTAAATTACGTGGTCAAATAACATTGTTATTAAGACTTTTAATTACGTGCTCTACTACTCTGTACTTTGCATTTTCGTAGTATTTTAATTACATGATTTGCAACAAACACGCAAATTAATAACTTACTCATCCTAGCTACTACTAAATTTGTTATGCATTATTGAGTATTTTTAATTTTACTCTGAATATTCGGCCTTGTGTTAATTTAATTGACCGGTTTTAAAAGTCAAATGGAGCTACGAATAAGAGAATGATTTTATATTAACATACTTGATCTGCTTCTAGTGTTTCTTTGATTCGTTCTAATAATGTTGATAAGCCATTTGCTAATAATATAGGATACGATATGAATTGAATCATACTCGTATAATACTAATGATAAAATTACACCTTATTTATTGTAGCAATAATTAGCTAAAACACATGATAAACGCTACTAAAAATGTATGCCGCTCTTATTAATGTAGAGATTTTATTATTAAAAAAAAAACAGGACGTTAACAAAAAGGAGCATTTTGATGATCATTTTGGGTTTGAAATGATCACATAAAAACTCTCAGCAATGAATTGGGCCTGATTGTAAATTAAAATAATTGGTACAAACAAAAAGAATTGGGTCCCAAACCCCAACCAATTCCAACATTCAATCATCCCATTAACAATTTCTAGGTCCATCAAGGTGATCAAACACCCGAAAATGTATTAATACAAAATAAAAATAATTAATTCATATTAAGCTCGAATTGAATAGATTAATTTCCACCACCAAACAAGAAGACGCAATACATTATTGACTAGAATTGAATTTTAATGTGCAATACAAATTCTTAAATAAATTCATCATCACAGGACTATCTTATAAGTAAATTGGGATAAGGAGAGAGAAATACCGAGATAGTCTCATGCTTAACGTGATTCACAAAAATGGTCTTATGATGATAAGATGGTCTAACAAAAATATTTCCTATTTTATTAATTTAGTCGCATGTAAATGAACAACTTCTAATTCACACGATCATTTAATTAACCTTGATGATTTTTATTAATTGATAATGAAATTCGTTTATCAACAATCTTACAAACCAGACCAGACCAGATCAGACCAGACCAAACCAAATCATATAACAAAAAAAGTCAATCAACCAATAACTAATAATCAAATAGTTGAGTATTTTGATCAATAAAGAAGAACTTTATACTCCTATACTTTATAATCCTATATTGTATCCTTAAAATTGGATATACTCTTTTTCACATAACTTAGCAAACGGCATCATTTCCTCCAACCTTTCCCAATTTCTTTCTCATAAAAAAATTGGAGTTTGACTAGTTGGTACGGAGTATATTTTTTAGACCTCATTTTATTTTCATTTACTTGGAAAAGTTTCTCTCTACCTCTTTCATATAACTATCAATTTCTCTCTCATTTCATCCATTATTATTAGAAAAAAAAAAAAAAAAAAAGCTCAAATTTTGTTAACAATGGAGGAAGTTGAAAGAGAGGAAAATCAACAAGTATTGACAGTTCTAGAACTCTTAAAACAAGCTTCTCATGATTTACAATCAAACCCAAGTCGTCAACCAACTGAGTCAAATTCATCCGCCATTAAAGCTCTGTTAGAGCTCGAAACAGAGTCAGACACCATTCTTTCCGATCCAAGTTTATTTCAGCTTTCGC